ATAGAAAAAAGTCCAGCCAATGGATCGTTTATTTTAGAATAGTATTAAAAAACAAAAGCTCCCTATCAGTAAACAATTTAAACAGCTCTTGGAATTTATTAAAAATAGGAGTACTGACTAATATATTCAAAAAGGAAAATTCCTATAAATGAGTGAAAATTACTACCGTTTTCCTGAATTCCCTGTTTTTAGATTAATCATTAAATAAATATTTACTTTCTGGCCCTGAACTGTGTGTTGGGCACTGTGAGGTACAAAAGAAGCGTAAGACGCTGCCTTCGGCTACTTTGCGTCTTATTCATACGTTGACAGCTCTCTCTGTGGAGCTGTTAAGTGGTTTCTTATACCAAGTTCTAAAACATATTTAATCTGGTATAATTTACCACTAATTACAGGAAAATAACCCTAGCTAACATTTATTGAATTCATCTCTGTGTATCCACACGTAACACAGTGTTTTCACATGACAGACATCCTGACATATGAATGAATAAATGCCAGATACTGTGCTAAAAGCTTTAATTCAATTGCTGTTTAATCCTCTCAACAATTATGAGTTAGCTAATATTATTTCCCCTATTCTGTAGATGAGGAAACTGAGCTTCAGATAATTTAAATGACCTTGCCCAAAGCCACAATTGTTAGGTGACAGAATGGGACTAGAATCTAGGTCTGACTAAAAGTGCTATAGTGGTATGAAGAGAAGAGTGATGAGAATTTGTGTTGGTGTAGAATTTATTGCTGTGTGTACGCTTCCTGTTTAGACTAAGATCCATAAGTTATTGGCGTAGATATCATTCTATTCAAGTAGCCGGGTTCCACGCCTGCCCTCAGCGTCTGTCCCTCAGTTACACAAGCAGTCTGACAGTAGTGTTTGTTCATCTCGAACAGCACAACATGGTGCCGAGGAGGAACGGACGCAGCTTGGGGGAAGCCTGACCACCACGCTGATGGGAACAGTTGCTCATCTAATCAGTGATGAGCAATCCGTCTCTGCTTCCTCATTTGCCTTTTCAGGGGATCATTAAGATCCCACTGTCTCTTGGATGCTCTGCTGTATTAGGCAGGAGACGCAGGCAGAGAAGCTCATTTGGCATGAATTAGACAGCAGAGAGAACCCTTGCTGAGTGGGAGTAACCTGTCACAACCTGGTTTTCTCTGGCCAAATGACCGGTCTTGTCTAGTAGTAATGCCATTACAATATCCCCATTCAGATCCCCATGACCCAGTCATTGTTTTGGGAATGAGTGCAAAGTGATCAGACACCAACTACTATAATTAGAAAAGGGAAAAACAGACACTCACCAGAGCTAACGTCTTTAGGCTGGAGCGTTTACAGCGCTTTTTTTTTTTTTAGGTTATGGAGGCACTTTCTCAGTTTTGCTTCCTAAAATACAAATTACACAGTTTTTGAGTTCGTGCATTCCAGTTTTTGTTACTGCAGTGCACTCTCTTTCCTTTTCCCCCCTATTTTAATCGGAGTACAAATTGCTGTCAGCACATCGAGTTCATGTGCCAGCCACATTCAGAACAGGGTGTTCTGTGCTCTTCAAAACAAAATCGCTCTAGGGCAGTAAGAGAACAATAAGTCAGAGCTCCAGTTTAAGTGATGTTTTGCAGCAGACCGGGCTCACTTGATGTGGTTATACTCGGATTGCGCAGCTAAGCTCGGGTAATTTGATTTGGTGTGACTTCGAGGGGCTTGGAGGACCTCCCCCCTTCTTGAAGTTACATAGACTTTAAGTCAAGAGAAAGTGTTGCCCCTCTTTAACTTGTGTATTTCCTTCTCTACCAAAAAAACCCTAAGTAGAAGCATCCTGTATGTACTTTTATTCTCTTTGGGCACGTCATAGATCATTTACTTCCCGTAAATCATGCTGGTCGGAATTAGCAACAGACCTCCTGAGCCCTAGAGGCCGAGCTCCCAGTGAGTCATGATGGTTATTATTAAATATTTATTAAGTGAGTATTTGCACTAGGAGATGCAAGGTCAAAAGCAACCACAGGTCTTCCACAGCCAGAGCTGCCACAGTTTTCTTTGGTAGCAATTATTGAGACAGTTTGAAAAAACCCCTGCATCTCTGGGAGCCAGGCCTGACTGCATCTGTCACCATGAAGGGGCCCCTACTGTGGCAGTCAGCAGGCGTTTCTGTGGCTCCAAGGTGCTGTGTAAGTTCTTGTCGGCAGTCTTGTAGAACTTGTCACACCAGTGTTCCAGCTTTAGAATCCAGGTAGCAGAACGATAGCCTCTGCCGCCTGTGGATGTAAAGGACCAGTGGGCCGTGTGCTCCCGCAGTCTGCTGCCTCCTCTTGCCCCAACACTCCGGATAATATCAGTACAGTTGGGTGCCGCGTGACCATGTTTGTCTCAACTCCGGAGCAGAACGCGTGTGCCACAGTGGTCCTGTAAGATGAGTGCCGTAGAGCCTAGGTGTGTGTAAGCACTCTGTGTTGTTCACACAACTATGAAATCGCCTAACGACTCACTTCTCACAACGTATCCCTGTTGTTAAGTGACACATGACTGTAGTAAAAGGTGATGGTTTTATATATACATATAAATTGGTGTGTGTGCTTATCACTTTATCAGTTCATAATTTTATGGTACTGTAGGTAGTGCTTGTTCAGGTTCAATTTACAAAAGTTAGATTTACCAGAAAAAAAGATTAGTCTGTATATAAGGTACATAGTAAGTATTTATAAGGGCAATTTTTTACCTTCCTGTTAGGTGGCCACAAACATTCCATGATTTGTCTCTCTTAGAGCAGCTGCAATGAATGTTTTGTTTGGTTTCTTAATTATGCCTTCATTATAATTTGACTTGAACTTCTTTTTTGGCTTGCTTGCTTCACTTCTCTTTCCCAACATGTTTATCAGTAGCCAATCCTTTTTTTTCGTAATATGGTGAGTTATTGTATCTAAAGAGAACTTCCGAAATTATTTCTATAATTTTAATATCAAATATATGCATCAAGCTGAAAACCAGGCTAGGAAACTGACACACAGGCAGGAATCCTTTGCAGAGTCTCTGGATTTCCTGTTTTGAAAACACATTCAGACTTGATCAACTAAAAACCACAATGAATGTACTTATAGTTTCCTCCCCTACTAATGTACTCTCCTTTGGGGAGGAAGATCATTCTAACAATAAACCTTAGACAAAGAGATCTGTCAACCAAGTTGCGAGCTACTAGGATAATAAATCTCAGTATTTGAGATATTCCACACTATGGGGGCTGAAATTCACTTAACTCAGCAAATCTTTTTTTGTGAAAAAAGTGTCATTGCATTAGTCTAAATTAAATTTCTTGGGCAAATTTAAAAACGTTTATGAACACAAACTTTTCAGAACCCTCAACTCCTTTAGAAACATCAGCTTTTACTCTAGTAAAAAATATCTTAAGCCTTAGGCTCCCTGCAGAACCTCTGTAGTATGTATGTATTTGAAAGTAATAAAGTTGAGTTTATTTTGAAAATGTTTTCCAATTCAAAAGAACTTTCAATGTGCTGCAAGTTAAGTGTTTTTAGCTGGAGCATTCCAAAAGTGAGTGTAATAGAATCATCTACGTTTGGAGTAGGGGACGTGGAACAAAATCCCTGTCTGCCGGCTCCACCCCGAGAGCCGGGCTAGCTCCTGTGCTTGTCTGCAGGGTCTGACTGGAGTGGAGAGTCAGGCCTTCTCTACTTTGGCGCAAGCGTCTGAGACTCCATCCTATGTCTGCGATGGGAACAAGTCTCCTAGTGAATGAGAAAAGAGCTTCAAAGCATAAATAAATATCCAGGTGATGTTTTAGTTCAAAAGTAAAGTAAGTTCAAATTGAATTTCTATTTGGAAAATAATTGTCTCATGGAATGAGTATAACAGAACAAGTGATTTTTAGTCTCTCTAAAGGAAGTTATTCATCTAACGTAGAGCAGCCGGTCTTAGACAAGAAGCATTTTAGGAAATCTTTACATTTGAATCTAGGCCATTATATATTGCAGAAGTAGGAACAAAGAATTTTCTTATGAAAGACAAATTATTATATTGCTTGGTGACTGTTGTGCTATCATACAAGCCATCCATTTTTCTTATTGAGTCAAAGACCTAAATGGAAAGGAATGAATATCCTTAATATAAAAGTAGTTGGAAAGTTTCAGAGAATTATTTATCCTAGAAAAAAATGGCTAACTGATCAAGAAAATAATATATATCTATATGCGTTTTTCCTATTTTGTCCTGAAAAAAACATAAAAACCCCTGATGTAATGTGAAATTACCCTGGGAATGAGCTGAGTGAGTCTGAGTGGAATGAGCTGAGTGGAATGGGGAATTAGGCCCCAAGAAATTGACCATTGACGTTTCAGAGGTTAAGTAATTTGATTTGTGAAGTTATAGTTGACTATTGATTCCTTCGCACTTTACATTTGTACTCTACTAAGGGAGGTAGCTTTGTTAATTATTGATGATGTTGCCTTTGGGTTTTCCATTTTTATTCAAATGTATTTGGAAAAGATTTGAATGAGATTAAGAATCTTTAAAAAAAGTTTCTATATTCAGTTAACTTTTGTTTATCATTGGGGAAATAGCCATTCAGTAGTTTTTCATCCAAGCCTCTGAATTCCAAGAAGGGGTTATAAACATTTAAGCCATTATATACTTGATATTAAGTTTGTGACATTTTTATAATTATCTATTAAATAACCTGGTATTTCTTGATCCTGTGTTAACAGGTGAGGAAGTCACTCATACAGTAGGTTTAAGCTAAACCTATGTTTCCACTTGGTTTTATTACCCCCTAAGCTATCTTATTGATATAGTTATCAACAATTGTAAGTTTAAACTTAAAACAGAAATATTATTGCTCTTAAATTTCCAGATTAGGTGGACTAAGCTTCGACAAGACCTACCTACTTGTCTCTAGATGAAATGAGAAAGGAGAAATACTCATGTATCACTGCCCTAAGTCAGCCAGTCCTAAGCAGCAGCTTTCTTGACTGTCCTGTCTCCTCTCCCTCAGTCCACCTGGAAGGCCGCTGTGGTGAAAGGACGTTCGATTGCAGGGATGTGGTATTCATCGTTGGCGAAGGAGAAGACCACGACATTCCAATTGGAATTGACAAAGCCCTGGAGAAAATGCAGCGGGAAGAACAATGTATTTTATATCTTGGACCACGGTAAGCAGCATACCGTTTCAGGACAGAGTGAAGTTATCTGAAGAAAAAGAATGTGCTTGCTTTTTCAACCGATGTCTTGGTATTTTCAGTGAGGTTAACGCTAACAGTGGAAATATTTAAGTCAGGCTACAGTTAGTCATGGAGTAAATTAATGGGCCTTACAATATCACCAAGGTTTGTGAGCCTGTTTACTTGATTCATATGTATTAAGGATAAGAGTGACAGGCAAGTTTTGCTTGTTTGTTTATTTGTTTTGTCTGCCATATTGCCCAGACAGGAAGCTGTTTACCCTGCTCACGTGATTCTCTTGCCCCCCTTCCCTTTTCTCTAAATTAGGCATGAGGCAGTAAAACATGTGGGGGGTGGAAGGAGAAGAAGTGTTTTGATGATTTATTACCACTTGAATTTGTGCCACCTGTTCTTATACAGAGTCCCTGAAAAAAAGAGTGTTCTTCCTGGATCTAAAGGCAGCGGAGATGACTCATTTTTGCCTAAATTTTTCCCATCATAAGGATATCCATTAGCACTTCCAAGCTCAGAACTATCGGACACTAACAGTCTGTCTTGTGAAAACATGTTTGGTATTATTTTTAGATCTTACGAATCCAACCCTTCTGTCTTGAAAAATGGACCCTTGAGAGAAACCAGGGTGTTTTGATTCTGTTTGCATGAAAGTGCCTCTGCTTATCTCGTGCCTCCTCCTCCTCTGGCTCCTTGGATATCAGTCAGTAGCATTTTGAGTTACTGAGAATCTGATGACTTGCACTCGCCAGTAGGTAACACTGTGCCTTTTGCACAGTTGCTTGTCTTTGTGGGGCCGCAGTAGTAATCCAGTGGATGTTTCCCTTTGCCCTGACACTTGAGCCATAATCCTGTTTCTCAAGTGATGTGGCCATGCCACCACTCACTTGAAAATCCTTCCAAAATGCTCTACACCTTGAGCTCTCTAGAGCCTTTTACTGAGGCACTTTTTATTTAATACCTTCTTTTTCTCTGTCATGTTCTTTTTTTCCACTGCCGTATTCCCGCTCCATTGTGTTTTATTTGCATTTAGTCTCTATCTGTCGTTCATCCTCGGGTGAACCTTTTTCTCTCTTCTTATAAGGAACTTTTTGAAATCAAGTAGAGCATAGAGAAAGCTATCTCCTCCGTATTCAAATAATATCTAATTATTTTTAATCTGGTGTTCCAAAATTGTAGTAGTTCTAGACTCATATAAAGAGAGTAGTATTTTTGTTCAATGTATGTTTTCAGATTTAAGCCCGTTGAGGATAAGTTCTGTATACATTGTGGGCATATATTATCTTATGAGTCAGTTCATTAACACTTGAACCTAGCTGACAACGCAGTTGTGTGGGAAGATGTCTCAAGTTTAGGGGCAAAGAAAAATAGAAATTTTGCTTATATTTATTAATGCAAATAGTTCCTTGCAAGTTTAAATTGTTGTGTCATTAGTGGTTAAACCCAGCTATGCAGCTCACCAGCTGTGCGCACTTGTGCGGGTCATTTAACTCTCCTCAGCCTGAGTTTCCCCTTCTGCAGTGTGGGGACGGCAGCATCTACCTCACAGAGCTGTGGAGGACTAAATGAGATAATGCGCGTAAAGAACTTAGCAGAGTACCTGACGCACACACCCCCTCAGCAAATTAGCTATTATTACTATTGTGATGACTATCTTTCTTTTCCATTTTACCCTCAGACCACAAGAAAAAGGAAATCCTGTTTTAACATATGGTAGATTTTTCAGATCTTTTCAGTCATAAAAGCAGTTGGCAGGTTTTCATAAATTTCTAGTTATAAACGTTTTTTTCATATGTTTTATGGAAATAATTTAGCATAGTTAGAAAGGAACGTGTTATTTTCTCTTCAAGATGTTGGTTAGTAGTTGAGGAGTTTAGATAAAGTGCATCCTCTGCAACAGGAGACTGTCCTGTCCACACGTGCACTGCGTGGCATTATCCCTGTGTGTAGACAATCCCTGCAACGGGGCACGTGAGTGCAGTCAGTTCGCTGTCTGACTCAGAGTCCCCACACAGGACACTGCATCCGAGTGCTGCTGTAAGTACGGCTGTTGCAGATATGTGCTCTCTGTTACTCTTACTGTCATCTGTATTTCATTCTCCACAAGATTTCCAGGGCATACCTTCTCTTCGATTCTGACGGACTCCTTGGCGGGATGTTTTTAGAATAAGAAACTCATAAAATACTTCCAAAGAACTCATTTTCTCTCTTTTCTCATCAGGACAATATCTTTTATACTGTTTTAAATACTGTGACTGAATAATCTTTTTCATTTTAGGTAAAGTATGGTTATTTTTAACTTTTTTCTTCCTTATGTTTCTGTTCTGCGCCAGCCCCAATCAAAACCTTAGGCTGCCAAGAGCCATAGTGTCTAATTATTAGGCAGTGTAAGTCAAAAACGAAACAATTTTCTGGGGACACACAGAGTCTCAATTTAAATCTTGGCTCTACCACTGCCTCTTTGTGTAACTCTGAGGAAGTGCTTCTCTCTGAGCCTCAGTTTCTTCATCTGCGAAAAGGGAGCAGTTGGTAGGAACTTACTGAACAAGTGCTTCTTATATGCACATAAAGGTCTAATGGTCATTAATAGTCCTTATTTGTGTCTTTCCTCTCTGCAGGCAACTGTTAATTCAAGAACATTAATACTGGATTTCTTGTGTGACTGTAGCCCAGCTTGTCTTTTAGTTAAGTCCTGTACTTGCGTTTGTGGTGTCCTGTCTTTCAGTCAGATGCTTTGTGTGCCCTGGGTCCTTCCTTGCCTGGGCTGATCTAGCATGTCAGACAACTTCCTGTATAATGTGGAGGATAGGTTAGATGCTTCCAGAACAGTTTGCTGTGAGCTTATGCCTCCCTAGGATGATGTTCTCCATGTACATCTTCACGGAATCTCTTCATTTTTACCCAAGAGAAATTGTAGAAATAATAACCTTCTTCGGTCTTCTTTAATCCCATTGATGACAACTGTGACAGTTTGCTGCCTCCCTCAACCCAACCCCCACACTCCTCACCCTAGTCATGGGGCCCCTATTTGACGATGAGTTTTTCTCGTCCTCAGCACTATTGATATTTTGGGCTGGATGTTTCTTCATTGTGGGGGCTGTCCTGTGCAATGTAGGATGTTCAGCAGTGTCCCTGGCCTATACCCACTAGATGCCAGGAGGATCTCCTAGTTGTGACAAACTCAAAATCTCTAGACATTGCCAGATGTTCCTGGTTGGGGTGGGCGGGATTAAAATCACCTCTGTTGAGAGCCACTGGTCCTAAGGCAAGTGCCAGCTCATCTGTTGGATTTGTAGCTGCTATAGCACAGGGCTCCAAATATAACATGCTGTCGGTATGCTCAGAAAGGACTCCCCTACCTACCTAGTTCCCAGCAGTTAAGGAATGTTCTTTACTTACCAGATGGCAAAAACAAAAATAGGAGATATATAGGTCTGAGAGCTCAAAGTAGAAAACTAGTCACTCCTTCCTAAAATTGGCCACTGGTAATTATGTCCTTTTATTTCTTTGCTGAAGATACCCTTTGCCCTGCTATTAAAGCTACCACACCCCATTCCTGCCAGCTCTCACTGTATCCCTCTGCCTCTCTCTGGCTCCAGCTTCCGTTTGCTTGTGTAACAGTGGAGGTGAGTGAGTAAGCATTTTCTTCCTGAAAAATTCAGGTGAGGGGTAAAGAAAGTGGTGCAAGCAGCAAGATACAAGGGTTCCCCTCCAGTCCTTTTGCCCCAGAGAAAACTGGAGGTATTAGCATTGACCTGGTATTGACATCTTTCAACCGATAGCCTGAAAGCTTGGGTTTCCTAAGTTTTTTGCAATGCTATTCCATGTGTTAAAGAGTAGATTGGCTTGAAGCAGATGGGAACAAAATATATTCCACTGAACACCTTCCATTACTAATATGCTGGCCATTGTTCTACACTGAGGAACCATTGAACGAGACGGAGCTCCAGCAGAACTTCCATTCTAGTAGATGTGTGCTCCTTGAATGCCTTGCATTTGTTAAAGATCTTAAATGATCCAAAAGAACAATGTATAGATCCTCAGCCATTTTATTCAGTAAGTTTCGGCTAAAAGGTCTAGTGTTTGACAGTGTGATAGCCACAGAGCTAGGAGAGTCTTCCTCTTGACGAGGTGTTCGAGTTTGCCAGGGCTATTCTTTTTGATAATATATTTGTTATATCATTTGTGTTTTCTAGTGTGCTTCATAAACGTCTTGAAAAAATAGTGTGAGAATGTATTTCCTTCCTGATGTGTGAGCCTTTCCGCCCGCTTATCTGACTGGAAGTGGTACTGTTGGAGGGGACAACCCTTTAAGTGAAAAGCTTAAGACCTACCTCTAACAAACAACGCTATGAGACTGATAGTGCCTGTCTTCTCTGTCCTCCTGCAGAGAAAGCTTCGGGGAGAAGTCTCAATAGCCAAATAATAGCAGTTTTATAAAAAGAACTAGATATAAAGTCAAGCAGAAAAAAGGCAGTGACATTTAAGATCATATTAAACAAGCTGTCCCAAGGAGTACAGGTGTCGCATTACATGTAAACGTGAAGGAGAAAAGAAACCTAAATCTAGCCTGGTTTCATAAAAAACCACAGCAGTGTACTTGGCAGTCTGTCTTCTGGTCAACATCTGGTTTGTCTTCAGGGTCTCTGCTAATGTGATGCCTGCAAGTCCTGAAAGACGCCGATCCTTTTAAAGTTTTATTTTTTACTCTCCGTTTCAGATACGGTTTTGGAGAGGCAGGGAAGCCTAAATTTGGCATTGAACCTAATGCTGAGCTTATATATGAAGTTACACTGAAGAGCTTCGAAAAGGTGAGAAAATAACCAACTTCTCCGAAATCATGGTAGATTTCTTCTTTATCCACTTGCTATAAATTAGTATTTTATCTTACTAGGTGGTGTTGAGAGATGGTGTTGATTTGTATGTTGTGCTTTTCATAATCAAGTTTGTCTCTCGTCTCTGACCCTGCTGCTGGAGAATGGGACAATGAAACAGCACAGCTGATATATAACCAAGGATCTCAGTGTTCTTATTTTGTTCCTATGTGTCAGCTTTTTTTTTTTTTTTTAACTTTTTTGGGTAGAATCCAAGACTTGTTCCCTTATTTGTTCCTAGACTTGTTCTTTTTGTACTTTTTTTCCTGGGTTGAAGACAAAAAGGTTCACATTCTGCCAAGCAGCTCCTTGGGGGAGTGGGGCGCAGTTTCCCAGTGCTGAACGGATTGTACCCTTCTCTGGAGTCATGAAGAGGCCTTTTCCCTGGCTCCAAGTTGTTATCCAAAATGCAAGGCTTCAGGGGCCACCAGGCTCTGTGACAAGGGACACAAGAGACAAACGTACTAACCCTAGGCCTTTTCTTTTCATACCTGTCCAAGTAGAAAAAAGAGAGTTTGTCAATTGCCCGGGGTTCCAGAATGGCATGTCTCCCTGAGCATCGTTCCTCTCAGGCCTGCCTCCGGAGGCTCCCAGCAGCAGCTTCACTGGACAAACACAAAGCATATGCCTCAGCTGGGTGTGCTGTAGTGTCCAGCTGAGTCTCCATTGCGTCACAGAGCCCCACCCTTCCCCGAGAGCCTCGAGAACGGCATCTTTGTGTGCCTTTTTCATTCCCACATTGTTACCTCCATGTTCTGTACATTAAGCTTTGGGCCGGAAATGTGACTGTTTATATGTTATTAGACTCAGAAAGGAAATCATTGTCCTCATCCTGTAACTTTGGCTAAGAAAGTCGGGGGAGGACTGCTTTGGGATTCCCCTCCCAACGGTGACGTTCCTGATCATCCCCCTCACACTTCACGTTCCCCAAAACAAACATGCTGTCGTCATGACCATTGCTTGTTGTCAGGCACCCTCTTCTGAAGGCCTGCTAGCTCAGCACTGATCCTCCAATGCTGTCTTCATAGCACAAAATGCTTTTTATTGTTAAGGAAAGAGAAAATAATCTTTAGCATATCGTTATTTAGACCTTGGGCTTTCCTATTTCCATTTGATAAAGTAACCCCCGGCCCCTTTCCATCCATGGCCCAGTGGACATTGCTCCTTTAGAAGCATTCTCACTGTGGTATGCTACAGTCAACCTGTGCTAGGTCATCGCTCCAAGAGTATATTCTATGCAGCACTGCTTGGTATATTTGAAACGACATGAAGGTGTGTGATGTTGGAGGAAACATGACCTAATTTTCTGCCTCATAGTATTAAGAATATATTTATACTCCATAAAGACTGAACCCAATATAAAAAATGCAAAGGGCCCATGTTACTAGATTTTTAAATAATAGAGCTAAATTGGGCTGGCCCCGTGGACAAGTGGTTAAGTTTGCGTGCTCAGCTTCGGTGGCCCAGAGTTTCACCAGTTCACATCCTGGGCACGGACATGGCACTGCTCATCAGGCCACAGAGGTGGCATCCCACATGCCACAACTAGAAGGACCCACAACTAGGATATACAACTGTGTACTGTGGGGGCTTTGGGGAGAAGAAGAAAAAAATTTTTTGGCAACAGTTGTTAGCTCAGGTGCCAGTCTTAAAAAAAATAGAGGTAAATTATTAGAAAGCAACACAGGGTTGCTAGAAATACTAGTAACTCATTATTCACTTTAAGGCAGGGGAGGGGGCTGTGACACCAGGAATACACTTCTAATTGTCTCGAATAGAGAGACTTTTACAGTTACCCTCCTTAAGCCTCACAATTTCTGTGCAGTAAATGGCACTGACACAGCCATTTTCACTTTCCCTAAAGAACCCCAGATTGTCTATTGACTCTCTGTGATCCATCTAAATCCAGCTGTTTGTAATGAAAATGTAGTTGTCTGGATTTGTATCTATAATAATGGAGAGTAATTATACACATAATACAAATTTGCAGATGATCATGAAATCATTTATTTATGGCTTTGAAATAACATTTTTGCATCAGCTTTACCCTCCCAATTATGTTTTACTTGAAATTTCTGAAGTATACATCTGCAAGTTGATGTAATTTGGAGGCTTTAGTATATCTGGTTGTTTTAGCATGGAGAGACAACTACATGACCGGGAATTTTTAAAATTCTGTATGAATATACAACTGTGACTTGACTACGATAGTGTTCCAATTTTAGAGTTGCAAACTGAGCTTGAGAGAAACAACTTGTTGAAATTATCATAGCAGTTTAGTGGCAAAGTTTGCAGGAGGTAAACGAGGGACCATAGCTTTGATTGTGTGGCCTCACCTTATAATTCTGAAGACACACTCTTTAACAGTGTATACAGCTTATATTCTTTACTGGATTCTTGCCCACTCCTCCCCCTTGGGCAGCATGGGTCAAGCTGTAGCTTTCTCGTGGAGAGTGAGTTCTTGCCCAGCAGTGAATTGGCGGTGGCACAGTTTTAAAAGCCAGTGTGTTTTGAGTAGAAGTAGCTACTGTTTCTTCTTATGGGCATCCACTGATGCTTTTTCCTCTCTGTTCATCTAACCATTGTCACAAATTTACACAATAGGCCAAAGAATCCTGGGAGATGGATACCAAAGAAAAACTGGAGCAGGCTGCCATCGTCAAAGAGAAAGGAACTGTGTACTTCAAGGTGTGTGAGTCCTCGTACAGTCCTTTCCATTTCAGAATTTACTCAAGTGTCAATGAATTGTACTGATATTCCCTACTCTGAATTCTATCAACACCCTCTGGGTAAAAATAAGCCTGAATTTTTACAAGTCTGTCATTTTCAATATAAGAAATGGTGAGAAAGAATGAATTAATGTGACAAATAGATTACAAATGCCTCTTTTACACCTTTTACTCTAGATTGTAACCCTCTGTAAAGGCAGACCAGGTCTGGCTTGCTCACCCACCACTGTATCACTCAAGGCCTAAAGCATCTTGTTTGGTACATAGTTGGCACTCAACAAGTGTTTGTCGAATAAAACAAAGAAAGAATGGAATAATTGTTACTGAGTAATAGAATTCATAGGGGTAAGTTTCATATCATTTTCCTTTCCACTGTCTTGGTGAAGTCACTAAAGCACACGAGAAAAGGAAAGAAAACTTGCACCAATTGCAAAAGAAACTGCCAGGAGGAGAGTATTAATTTCTTCTGATGGCCAAGATGATTCCTGCCACACTTGCTTTTGTGAGGAATCTTCAGAAATTCCTGAATGATATTTGTCATTGATTGCTTCTGGAAAACCCTTTCTTGTAATGTGTAGGAATGTCATTTCCTTGCTTAGATCTTAAACCCCTAGATATAAGAAAAAATGAAACAGCACTTTGCTCACTGCTAATCAGAATGCTCTGCCCATTGCTCCCCTGCCTCCAGATGTGCCTTCTCCGTGTCAAGCGGAGGGGCTTAGTGAGGAGGAGAGTTTGTGAAAGAACAGAGCTTTCGTCAAGGTTTCTTTTGTTGTTGCCACTGCAATCCGTGAATAAAAACTAGATGGTGTTTTCAACAGTCTAAGCAGTGACGCGTAAATGTACTTCATCAAGTCTTTATAAAGTCTCTGCTTTAAGACCTGCTTTTGTGTTGACAACCTTGTCTGGACATGGACAACCATGTTAACCCACATAAAACAAGTAGAGAATTATCTAAGACTGTGTAATCAACACAAAATTAACACAGCCAGAGGGCAACATGTATGGTTCTTGTTTTTCGAAGTTTGAGAGGAGTCCCATTACTGGGTCATGAAATCAGTTTAGTGGAAGTGTACTGCCTTATGTAATAGGGATAAACTTTGTTTCATAAAGCTTTTTTCAGTTGTATGTGAGTGGGTACTGGATCATAATTTAAAACATTTCTTACCGAGTTATAGTTAAACAAATTTGAAATCTGTTCGTTTAGATAATTATATTGATTTATAATTATTTATTATATGTACTAATGTATGGACAGCCAGAAAGCACTGAAGTGTGGTGGAATGAGCTCCAAAGTGGGAAAACTGGGCTTTATGGCTCCAAATGATTTAAAGTCATTTAAGCTCCAAAGAGGTTATTTTTCCATGTGAAAAGTAAAGGAGTTAGATTAGATGACCCCCAGGTTTCTTCCCAGCCCTAAAATTCTGTGAGCTTCTAAACTCTCCAGAGCAAGTTAGATTTTCTTTTTAATTCCAATTGAGACATATTGGATACTTCTAAACTATTCAAATAAGATTCGAAATGGGTTATTTGTAGATCCAAATACACAATACACTAGAATAAAAAGAAAATTTTCTGCAAAATCTCTTAAGACCATGGGTTCTTAATGGCATTTCCTACATAACTGGAGTCCATAAGAGGCTTTAAATGTATTTTTTGTATTTCCCACAACTTCTAAATAGAATATTAACCGCTGAAGGGAGATGGTGAGGCATTTGGCACTTGACTAGAATTATATCAACTCAATGTAGTAAAACAGCTGATATTCGGAAGCTCATTGGTTGCTGATGACTCAGAACTTTGGGGACTCAGAACTTTTGGTAACAAAATAATGTTGCCAAGCCACGTGTCATATAGCTATGTCCTGAATATATAGAGACAGATGGCCAGAATGAGTGATCAGTAGCAGAAAGCAGTGGTTAAGTGTCAGTACAATTACTTAACTTTGTTGCTTCAGAGCATCACAATTTTAATAGTCATTTGTGTATTTCATAATGTTATGATCCCTCTTAAAATTACTGATCTTTGGATAAAATCTGGATCAGCAGTCACACATATGGAACGTATTATTTTTAATATGCAATTTGATAGACAAAATCTTTCGAAACATTAGTCCATTGGGGGGAAATTAATGAAAGGTTCAAAACCACTGACCTAAGACTTTTCTCCAGAATGTCTCTGAACATTTTGTCCACCTAAAAACTTCCCTGGAGGCACCTTTATAATTATAGGTAAAAGATCTCAGCAGTGATCCTAGTTTTGGCTGTAAGACTTCAAAATGGTCAGTAGATAGTTTCCTGTGCACATTCCCTTTTCAAATTTTAGGGCAGGTTTCAGTTTGCCACACTGCCCTCCCCGGCCTCTTCTTCCCAGGGTATGAGTGGACTTGGCACGGTGTGCATGTGTAGACTGCAGATGTGTGGGTGAGAACAACGATGGGGTGAAATAAAAATCTACGTTTCATGCCGTCTATATGTATATTGGAGCTCCGTTTTCATTGACCTGTCGGTTTGGTTTACACCTAAGTGGGTAAATCTCTCCCCTTAGTAGGGTTGAATTGTACTCAACTTTTAAATGGGAATGATTTTGCTGTTTAGATTGTAAACTCCTCATATCATCCTCAACACTAGAAGAAAGATAGGAGAGGAGTCTCTTCATTTGGGTCTGAAAATAATTAGTAAACACAGATAACAACATGACATTGTGCCAGGCATTGGGCAAGCCAGGTAACACATGGTCTTTGCCCTCATAGCTCGCAGTATTCTGCAGGACAAGAATATTAACTATCTATTAGTGCTTCTCTTTTCTGACTTGGAGGCAGAGTGGTAAGGCTGAGGACGCTGCAGTGATAATGGGGTTCTTGCGCCCCCTTGTGCTCCTTGGGAAAAAAGCATTTCTAAAGCAAGCTAGTTAAGGATCACCTTTCATTCGCTGAAGCTTTTTCAAACAAACCAGGCTTTGCTATGTTTTGACCACCTTTGCTGAACCAAGAAACCAGTTCTGTGATTTAGAAACAAGTCATCTAAAACTCTAGCATTTTGGGTTAAAAAAACAACAACTACTCATAAGAAGAGTCTACTCTGCCTGTTTTCTCCTTTCTTCATTCTTCTAGTACAGAATTTCTCATTCTGAGCGCTATTGACATTTGGGGCCCTATAATTCTGTTTGGGTGGAGGGTATTTAGCAGCATCCCTGACCTTGACCACTAGATGCCAGTAGACCACACGCCTCCTCCAAGTTGTGACAACTACAAAAACATCTCTAAACATTGCCAAATGTCCCCTGGGGGGCAAAATTGCCCCCAGTTGAGAATGCCTGTTTTAGTACATCAGAAGCAGAAATACCACAGAACGAAGACTTTTGCTCATTAAAAGTTGAGATCTAAATAAAATCATATATGATATACGTGAGAGAGCTTTCACAAAATTAAAATGCTGTATAAATGTAAAGAAAGTATTATGAAGTCTGTTACTTGTTTTTCTAGAAGCTATAGCTTTCTATCATTCTGATTATTCAGAACCTACCAAAGTGATAGGATCTAGGTCTTTGTCCTCCCTGGCTCTTCTTTTTTTTCCGCCATAACAATATATTAGGAGATAATCAGAAAAAGTACATTAAAGATGAAGGAGGAGGAGGAGAGGAGAAGAAGAAACCAGACATTGAGGAAGAATGCCTATCGTTCTTAGCTAATGCAAATGAGATGACACCTTTCATTCCTACCCACACCTCCATTTCTGCTCCCAATAATAGAAAAGTTTTGATTCCATAATTGTATTGCTTTGACCTTAATATTTATTCAGCAAACCTTCGTTAAGGGCCTCTTTGTGCTAAACCCTGGATATTCCAAAAGGGATAGGACATGTGTCCTGTCCTCAGAGCTTTCAGTTCAGCAAGAGAAGAGACAGTGACAGAAAGAAAATGCCAAACCCTGAAACTGGGGAGGACTTTCTTCTTTTTCAGTGGTACCCAAAAGAGGATAGTGAGCCTAAGGCTATGACAAAATATAAGAATTGTCTTATTTTGGGCTGCTGTAATAAAATACCATACACTGGGTGGCTTAAACAACAAGAATTTATTTCTCACAGTTCTGGAGATGGGAAGTCCAAGACTAAGATGCCGGCAAGGGTCAGTGTCTTGTGAGAGGCCTCTCCTTGGGTCCCAATGACCGCCCTCTTGCTCTGTCCTCACATGACCTTTCCTAGATGCTCGAAGGTGGGGAAGAGAGGAAGCAGGTTCTCTGGTGTCTCTTAGCAGGGTACTAATTCCACCATGAGGGCCCCACCTTCAGGACCCCATCTAAACCTAATTACCTCCCGAGGGCCCCATGTCCAGATGCCGTCACATTGCGGGTAGGGCTTCAATGTATGAATTGGGGGGGACACAATTCCATAGCAAGCACAATATAATTTCCTCAAGAATTTCAGCGTTTATTCTCAAGGGGCCTGGGGTCGTATTCTTACAAATAACCTGTATCACAAATTTCTGAGGCAGAGAGGATAATAGACTGATTTTAGCACCCTTCTCCTTCATAACACGTCAGAATCCTTTTGCACTGCCTTTCTACAGCAGAACAGGTGAGGTCTGTAAGTCTTCTCTGTCCTAAACAAGACACTTGCAAAGAGGGATATTCAGGAAGGATGTAGCTTTGCCCTCTTTCATACCCAGCCCTCCGCTTGGAACAGGTCTGCCCCATCCTCATCACCAAAAGTCGACATCAGGGCTTCCTTTCTGCAGGTGGAGCTCATTTCTTCTGCCAACCGCTTGAAATCCTTTACAACAAACATTCTCGTCGACCAACTGTACGATTTTTCTCTTCTTAGTCATTGGTGAGGTTTGGAGTATGTGTGGGGAGATGTAACTCTACGTTGAAATGTATTCACTGCTTTGGCTGTGATACATCCTAGTGACATGATCCTAACACTGTTCATTGGTCAAACATTGGATTTAATGTCCTAATGGGTCCAGCTCCAGTTCTACCGTGTGGTAGGAGGTGTCATCTGTTTTCAAGCTTACGGTCACCTGCAGAGGAGATCCCTAACCTGTACTCCCGTTTTATTTGTATATTTACAAGCTATCACTCCTTTCTTTAATTCATCCTAAAATGGCAGTAAATATATTGTGTCAGCCCCGTAATTTCTTATATAAAACATATATATAATTAATTCATGAATTAATTATACAATTGTTTTTCACGATTGTTAGAATTCTACTAATCAGGTAAAAGAGCAAAAATATGATTGAGAGATTTTTCTCATTATGTTTTATAGTTATAAACGTTGGATGCTACTGTTCAACTCTGTGTATTCCCATTGTCTATAGATCACTTGTCAGCAAACAAGAGCCTGTTTTTGTAAGTAAGGTTCTACCGGGACACAGCCACACTCATTTATTTGTATATTGTCTGTAGCTGCTCTTGCACTACCAATGACAGAGTTGCAGCACAGATTGTTTGGTCTGCAAAGCCTAAAGTATTTATTATCTGCCCCTTTACAGAAAAAGTTTGCCAACCCCTGGTTTAGATAACTAAGGTTTGCGGTGTTTGGGATTGACACTTGCCAGAATGTAGTATCTACTGTGCAGTGCCGATTGTCAGAGAAAAGGGAAAAGTAACTTCCCCTTCAAGTAAGTCGGTGACATCGTCTAAAACTACTCACCGACCTTTGGAAAGTCTGATAAATATTAGCACCAAAGAATGTAACCCAAAACCTTGATGCTCTCCTGCCGAAAGAACTGCCCCTCTGAAAAGGATGAGATGGTAAATGCTGGAGAACAGCATTATATAGAGCAGGGTCCTGCACCAGCTCAGAGATCACTGGGACTTCAGAAAGAATAGAGAAAGGTGCCTGGGTGGCCACCTGCTGAGAACAGAAGAAATGATGAAATACCATGGTTAGTATGACAGGTGGTTTCGTTCTGAGGATTTGGTTTCTCAGAGACGGCTGAGCTTAGTCTTCTTTTGGACCCCCTCCAGGGCGTGGACAGCACGTAATTACTAGCTTTTTTCCTACTAGGGAGGCAAGTACATGCAGGCGGTGATTCAGTATGGAAAGATAGTATCCTGGTTGGAGATGGAATATGGCTTATCAGAAAAGGAATCTAAAGCTTCTGAATCGTTCCTGCTCGCTGCCTTCCTGAACCTGGCCATGTGCTACCTGAAGCTTAGAGAATACACCAAAGCCGTCGAATGCTGCGATAAGGTAGAGTGTCTATGTGAGAGACGGACTTTCAACAATCCACACCCTTCTCTCCATCCTCATAGTTAGTCTTTTGCTTTCTCCCAGCCAATGGTCGGAAGGTTTTTCATTTTGCTTTGTTGTATTTATTTGTTTGGGATTATTTATTTCTCAGCATTTCTCAGAATTGGGAAATTCAGAAAGATTACAGTTAGACTTTTCTGATGCCTAAACTGTTTATAATAATGCATTATAAATGAAAATTTTGATAAAATTTAACAATCTTCACACATGACCTTCCTTAAATCTAGGGCATTTGGTATCAGATTAGACATACAAGTTCTCAAGTTTAATTTAATAAGAACAGATTTAACTTTAGCCTTCCAGGACTTTAATATAACGGACTGCAACTGCTCGTATAGAGGATGTATGCTAGTCACTTTTTATTATAATGTTTATTCACTGATTAAGAATACATATAAATAATTTGAAAGCATCTACAGCCCTCTCCCTTCCTACATTTATATCATTAATACTGTTATTGGTCTTTTAGTACTCAAGTGCTCTGTGACAGTGGTTTATCATATACATGATTCTGATAGTTTTATACACCAGCTGATGCTGACTGTTACATCAGATATCTCATCTCACATGAACAGTCTGTGTTGTACTATAGGTTAAAGCTAATAATTGGACTATCTTAAAGATAAGACATAAAGGGAGAGGAAAAACAACTATTTCACAATTCTTTGTAAGATTATTTTTGAATTTTAAGATTCTGAGTTTTGTTGATCAATATGTTCCCTATCATATTATGCTAAATTTTTGCCTGAGAAAGGGATGTTATTGTTAATTACGGTTCTTAAACTTTGCGCTTTTTTTATTATAGAAGTAGTATAAAGTTTTTCAAAATTCAGACATTATGGAAACATACAAGAAAGTGAAAGTCCATTCATAAAATTCCCATTAACCTTCTCTCGCAAGACCATTCATTTAACATGTATTCCTTCCGTTTTTCCAAGAAACATAATGTGTATATATTTTTTAAATGGGAATGTATAGCTTTAGATATGTAGTTTTATAAAACAAGGACATCTTTCTGCATCTTATCAGTCCATCATGTAACTATCATAGTTTATTTAACCAGTCCCCTTTGGCAGGTTTCCAGGTTTTTGACACTACAAATTACATAGCGTCTGTCTTTGCATACTTGTGGGCTTGTTTCTATAGGATAAATTTCTAGAAGTGGAAATACTGGGTCAAAAGACATGATTATTTTAATACATTAAAATTCTAAATTTTAATACATTATATATTATCATTGAATATCATAGGTGGGTTTTTTCCTCAATATTATTGGACAGAAAATTCTTTTCCTTTTTATTTCTGGTTACTAATGAAAAATTGCACATCTTTTCATTACTTATTAGCCATTTGTATTTCTTCTGTGATTGCCCATTCACATCCTTCAAGTGGATTGTTTTCTGTTTATTGAGGCAGTCTGTATATTACTGCTTAACCCTTTGTCTGACAATAAGGCCCTGTTCTTGCCTTTACATCTTTTAACTTTGTTGATGATACCTTTTTCTGTAAATGAAGCTTTAATATTTATGTAGTCAGATTTGTCTTTTCCTTTCTAGTTAGAAAGGTCTTCCCTACCAGATTATAAAAGTGACTCTGTGGTACTTACAAAACCTACTCCAACTAGGTTTGCTTTAAAAAAAAAATTTAAATATAGCCCTATTATATTTTCATGGACTCTTTTTTTTGCATGTAAATATATTTAGTCTAGAATTTATTTTTGTGTTTATCATATGAGGTAAGAATTTAACTATTATTTTCTAGTGGAGAACCACTGTCTCGCCCCCATTTATTGCAAAGAGAATCCTTTCCCCACTGATTTACATTACGGCCTTTTTCGTTATTACTTCTTGTATACATACACATGAATCTGTTTCTGAATGCTTTGTTCCATTCCACTGACCTATTTGTCCATGGACTGGTCATCAAACTGTATTAATTTCAGTAGTTTAATAGTATATCTTTTTCTCTGGTAGGTTAAGTCCCCTCACATTAGTTTTATTTTTCCAAAATTCTCTCAGCCATTCTTGGGCGTTTATTTACTTCTTCCTTTCAAGAGCCCCCTCTCAAGTCCCTTTGGGATCTTTATAGAAATTGCATTAAATACATAAATTAACTTGGGTAGTTACTCATGTTTTGATCAGTAGTGTATAATTCCCTTGAGCCCCATCGTTTCAATAGGCTTTTTCCAATCCCCTTGGCCAGAGAGCTTTCGTAAAATTCCCACAAGTTACGTTCATCCTTTCTAAAATGTAGACCATCTGCTCCTAGGCCCTTGGACTGGACAGTGCCAATGAGAAGGGCCTGTACAGGAGGGGTGAAGCCCAGCTGCTCATGAACGAGTTTGAGTCAGCCAAGGGCGACTTTGAGAAGGTGTTGGAAGTAAATCCCCAGAATAAGGCCGCAAGACTGCAGATCTCCATGTGCCAGAAAAAGGCTAAGGAGCACAACGAGCGGGACCGCAGGATATATGCCAACATGTTCAAGAAGTTTGCGGAGCAGGATGCAAAGGTGCGTGCAGAACCCATTTGCCTTCAGGTGGATCAAGAACTGACTTATTAGCCCTTTGGTTTTTGTTCTCAGAAGTTTAAACATAGGGCACAGGGGCTGGTAGACAACCTGAGAGGCACAAGAATAGGGAAAATCTGATCTGATCTGAGACTGGTTTGGATCCAGAGGTAGAATAGGGCTGTTCAACTTAACCAAAGGCACATAGTAGTGAGGACCCATCATGTCTGTGCAAGCGCTGAGGAAAATAAATTCCCTAGAGACATAGCCACCAAAGGAAAGTGAAAGCTTCCATCTGACTGTTGGCAGCACAGCCCTGACTTACCCAGCCAGCAACCTGAATAAAGTCATTGTGATGCCCCCTTGTTTGAGAGCCGACACAGTCTGCAGAAGTCAGGAATTAGTTGAACATTGCACTTCTTTTTTCTCCAACCCTCTTGATTTCTTATTTCTTCCCCAGGAAGAGGCCAGTAAAGCAATGAGCAAGAAGACTTTAGAAGGGGTCAGCAACGAAAAAGAAAGTCAAGCAATGGAAGAGGAGAAAGCCGAAGGCCGAGTATGACGTCACGCAAAGGAGGGCAGAGTCCTAATGGACTCGGCACCCCCTCCGTGGGCTTTCACCCAACTCAGGACTGAACAGTGTTTAATGTAAAGTTTGTTATAGTCTATGTGATTCTGGAAGCAAATGACGCAACCAGTAGCTTCCCAAAAAACAGCCACCCTGCTGCTGCCCAGTGCTCTCTTTGAGGGGTGGCGTGGGACCACTCCAGGTGGAACAAAACCGAGACAACTGTTGGTGTGGAGAGGTTGAGCCAACAGCTTAAGTCCAGCTCATTTCAGTTTATGTCAACTTTGAATATCCAATTCAGGGTCCCTTGAGATAATCCTAACAATTTGGGGCTGGCTGTTAGGTTTTACATTTGATTGAACTTTAATAGCACTGCAGACACGTAAAAATTGATGCTTAATGAATTTCTCCTTTCCTGCAGTTTGGCAGGGAAAGGAGGCTGAGGTTCTGTTTTTTAAATGACTGAAGTGCTATGACTGCAACGTGTTGCATTTTTAACCCATAGAACCCACAGTAAGAGGGGTCTGATGGCCCCTCAGGTCCACAGCAGCGTCGCAGACTTGAAAGCCAGAACCTTAGAGCCGCTCGCTTGCTGACTTAGCTGCCTCCGCAAGCCCCTCCTCAGTAAGCCAGCCTCCTGGCGAGAGTGGGCTTCCCACACCCAGCCTGTCCTGCAGGAGGAATTCTGTCATTCCTAAAACGCTCTTGAGCAGTGATAATGAGCAGAGAGGGTTTCTGGATTCACTTTCCCTGTTTTGGATGAAGTTCTAAGATGCTGAAATGTGAAAAGAGCAATGAGAATTGTGCTTTTCCTTTTAGGAAATAATGTTGAGTACAGTAGTGCCTGCTAGCATTACTACTGTTCAGTTTCTTATTTCCATTCTAACCCTTGCTATTAAGAATTTAAGACTTGTTCTTATACTATCTTTGACCTGGAGTGGATTAATGTACATATCCATTTAGGATCCATGCAGCTTTTTTTTTTTTTTTTTTAAATTACTGGCTCATCAACATATGTATACTGGTTTATGGAACTTTATTTACACTCTATCATGCAAAAAATTTGACTTTTTACTGCTAAGTGCTTAATTTTAAAAAACAAATTTGTGGGGTTGAAAAAATTAAGTAGTTGCTCTTCTACACTAAGGGTTTTCCTTGCAGGTGTGACTCGCGGTAGCTTTCTTCTGCGCTGATAGCTTCTTTGTTCTGGTGTGAGTTGTGAAAAAGAATTGAAAACAGCTTCCCATGCAGGTACATCCAGCCTAAAATCTCCAGTACTTGGGCATTGAATTAGGGCAAGTCTTAAATGTATGTGTAGTTGAATTTTAGTCCTTACGGGTAAATGAGATTGAATGGCTTTCTAGTCCCACAGCCTAAGAAACACTCAAGGAATGCATTTGGCAACCCAAGGAAACATTCACTTTAACCTGGAACATCTCACTTTTTTAAATCCTAAATAACACTGGCAATTATATTTTAGATTAGTTTTTATTTTTATGGTGGTTTTTACAAAACACTTTCATTGGTAGGAGCCACATTAAAACCTAAAAATAAAGTCATTTCCTTTCATATTAGTTTTCTTCTCCATAGGACAAATGGAATTGAATTGTGAGTTTCTCTTTTAATGATACTAAAATCCTTTCAATTTCCCATTTACACTTTTTTGTGTTTTTACATGAGGTATTTCTTCAAAAAGCCCCAGTCTCGCCTAGGAAATAAGAAAAGCAAGAGTTGATTTTGCTTATTTGCTAAACAGTTTAGTATTTGTAGCTCTGTTGACTAGAGCATGACTCTAATGAGGACAGCATTGAGATTTGATCCTAAAAAGACCAGTTAGCTTTTTGTAGGTAACAAACAAAAAAACTTCCAAAAATTAGATTGTCCCAGCCAACTGTCTCCCAGCTGTGTGTCAGGGGTTACCAGGGGGAATGGGCAAGAGTGTGTGGAGGAGAGGGGAAAGGGAGCGAATGGTTCTCAGCAAACCATTTACCACTCTAGAAAAAGAAACTTCACATTCTTGTATGAAATTCACTAATCTTAGACAGTTTGTCTAGAAGTCAGCAGATGTCTTTGAACCATCTTTTAGACTGCATTTGGAGTGGTGAGGCAGCATATGATGAATTAAAACATAGATTGTTTTTTTAAAAAAATCATTCAGATACACTTTGTGTTCCTTAAATAAATTCAAAAAAGCAAAACGTGATTTCCCCTTGTTCTTGGTTTTGCTTACTTAGTCTTCAGGAAAGGTGGTTTTGGTTTGAAAACTGGTGGGGGCCAAGCTGAAGAAATGAGATGTCAGAACATTGGCAAGAAACAATAGTGTCCTGCTCCTCGCTCTAATGCACAACTTGAAATCAACCTCGGGCTAAAAGCAGTGGAATGATGCATCTTTGTTCAAATTAACCAAATAATGAGAAAAGCAAGAGGATTTTGTTTTTTCATTAACCAGTGGATATTCCACCATTTTAACTGGTTGTAAGGTAGGTTCAATTGGGGAAATGAAGAGATTTAATTGTGCCCTTTAATAAATATGTAAAATATAAATAAGCACATCAGGTAATGTTCTGTGTTAAAATGCATTTCCTCTTTCTTGAGTAGCATATTTTGTCAGATATTCATGATTACGTACTCCGAAGGCTTAAGAAGATGTGGTCACATATACTGCAAATCCTGAGTGACGCCGCAAAAGAAAGGGGGCATGGGGCAGGGACTGGAGAGGTGGCCACCTTGCTCTGGTAGCACCACCAAGGTCTGCAGACAGGTCAACGCAGGCTCCAGGCACCTTTCACTTCCCCTGAATTCCTTGCTTCATCTCTGGATTTGAATTATATTCCTCCCCTTTTGCTGCTAAATTACTTGGAAATGAAATAATTCCCTTTTATTTGCAGTTTTTCTAAGCAAATAATGTTTGCACTAGGGATATTGAAGATGAGCCAGAGAAAGTTTCCCGGCTGTAAGTCTGTGAGCTGGGTAACCGGAGGCAGCCTGCACCCACTCCACAGCATGAGAAGCATCAGGAGCTTTGTCCATGCTTATGTGGCCTTTTTTTTTTTTTCAAAGATTGGCACCTGAGCTAACAGCTGTTGCCAATCTTTTTTTTTTTTGTCTGTTTTTTCTTCCCCAAATCCCACCAGTACATAGTTGTATAGTTTTAAGTTGTGGGTCCTTCTAGTTGTGGCATGTGTGGGACGCCACCTCAGTGTGGCTTGATGAGCAGTGCCATGTCCGCGCCAGGATCCGAACGGGTGAAACCCTGGGCCACCAAAGCGGAGCGCGGGAACTTAACCACTCGGCCACGGAGCTGGCCTCTTATTTGGCCTTTTTAGCAGCGCTTTGAGCTCCTCTTTCAGCATGGTGTGTTAGAACATATTCTCTGAGACTGGCATCCCTGGGAGACTGTCACCAACATTGGTGACAAAATGCACTGAATTTGAGCTAATTAGTCAAAATTCCAAACTCAGAATTCCCCAGCCTAGCTGTATATTATTTCTATCAACAGGCTACTTATGCATTTGAATAGCAGTGACTGACAAAAGTGTACACAAAAGCACATTCTCTAACAGCTTCAAAAAGTTTATGGGGACCCTCAGTGCTTTTTTTCAGATTTTTTTCTCCTAAAGGATATAGAGAAGGCACAATAATTTTGACTGTGCTGTTTGCATAAGTTATCTCTGGATCTGTAATCATACATAATCTGTGTGTGTGGCCTTAATAATACATTGCCAAAAAGGGACGTCACTGAATGCAACTCCCAAGAAGACCTTTGATAGCATCTTGTTGGAACTAACTGCTACCTATAGATGGGACAACTCGAGCATAATCCATAATGCGGGGAATCCCTGAAAACCTTGGTGAATCTAGAACGGGGAGGACCCAGAATGGTGAGGTGCCCGGCCCACAGTCATCCAGGTGACCTGATGCCCTTAGACAGTTCCAAAATAGATCTAGTTTAAAGCATGGTTCTCTTGGTACATGGAATGATATGCTGGTAGTTCCTTAAAATCCGCAAGCATTTGGTGGAATTGAGATGGCAGCAGAGCCATAGGCTTCATATTCTACTCTGGAGTAAAAATAATATGGGAAATTTACCAGTATGTACAGGGCAGGCATGTTTTGTTTTTTAAAGCATGCTCTGGGTTAAGGAATTGCAGTGTTTGAGTTCTTAGTTTTTTCAGATCCTTTTAACTAGATAATAGATTCTTAGCACCCACCACCTTAGAATCTAGTTGGAACAAGAAAACGTAAAATGTTTTCCTCTACGCTCTGCTCCTTTTGAGCAGACACTTAAAATCCATGCTTGAGGGGACCCCACCTTTTCTAACATAATCAAAGGCAAGTAGTAAAATCTTAAGTGATCTGCCAGGCATTGACGAGGGTAGGGCAGGTATCAGCCACTAAGAACTGTGCATAGGAAAAGCTGTCCTGCATCCACAGACTAAAACTGGTCATAACTGCTATTTATTGAGAGCTTACTATGTGCCAGGCACTTAAACCCCCTTTCCACTGACCTTCCAAATATACAAAGAAAGTAATTGTGTCACCCAAGCCCCCAGACCAATAAGATATTAACCACAACCTGCTCAGAACAAGCCTAACATATTACCTTTAGCATACAGGAAACCACAAAGAGAGGAAGAAGATGGCTGAGACATAGGTCAGAACCAGTTGAAGGCAACATGGCAGTCAACTTGACCTTACATAGACCCCCCCCCCGCCCCGCCCAGCTCATTATATGCTCATTGTAATACGTTATCATGCTCCATAACACACCCAGCAGCGCCATGATAGTTTACAACTGCCGTGACAACAACCAGAACAAACCACATAAGGACCAAAGGTGGGCGGCAACCCCCTTTCCCAGAAAAGACTGCCCAGTTCCCTGTATTAACATCCCTCCCCTTCATTACCTTGACCCCTTACAACAGCTGCTTGATCACCCCAAGAGCTGAGAAGTTGATCTGTGAACTTAGTTCCTGCTTCTCCATTCCTTGGCCATTGAATAAAGGTTGTGCTGTTGAATATTCAGCTTCAGTTTCGTTTCAAATCCACGATGCTGAGCAAGAAAGAATCCTCCGAGGAAGGGACAGATTGTGGGTATGGACCTCCTCGGAGCTCCTCCAGTCATGGGTCAGAGTCCCACTGGAGTGAGGTGACATTGGTAACAGCTGCTGCCTTCTTTCCACCTTCTGAATCGCACACAAGATCATGTGGTCCTTACTAATCCAAAACTATGCAAGGAAGGAATTCTGGGGCATGTATTTCAAACCTGGCTTAGTTGACATGTTACAAATATACCAAGTGTCTAAGCCTTTCTTGAGGTATTAAATATTTCTGGCCTGGGTCTGCTTTGGATAATGTGTTTTCATAAGAGAACTCCTTTCTAGAGGCATTATGACTTGGCTTTAAAGTTACCTTCTTGAAAGTTTCTGACCAAGGAAATAAGGTGAGAAGAACAAGTGGCTAATGATTAGCATCTGGGCATATGATGATTAATTCTAGTTACTAACTGATTTGATGTCTGCTTACAACCATGCTGCCACACTGAGAACTCCTAATCTTTTAAGTCTAAAAACTTAAACCCATGTGTATACTCTTGCCCTTTGCAGATACCAAAGTCTTTCTAAAGATGACACCAGCTGGAACATACAGTTAGCAAATTCATATGACCCCCCTCCCACTGAGGGGTCCAGGAACTCATACATTCATTTACTCATCACCACCCCCAATCTAGTACATAGTAGATGCTTAATAAATTGGCTTCCTCTCCTTTCTCATAAGGCAGCCTTGCATGTCTATCTCAGTGGTCCTTCCATTCCTGTTACTTATCTTGAGATATGGAGGCCAGAATCACATGGTTTTCTAGCAGTCCCTGCAACCTGATTTTGGTCTTGAATTCCTTGAAGTGATGAACCAACAGTAACTTGACTTGAGGGGGGCATAACTGCAAAATGGGTCTGTGGCCTTCAGGTCACATTAATCTTAAATCTATTTCCATAACTCAGAGTTCATCAGCCTAAACAGATCAAATGTGAACTGGAGGAGGCTTTTGGGAAGATGACAGTGTAGAGAATGCCAGGAATCTCTCTCCCCAACTAGACAACAATTATACTGGCAGAATCTATTTGCTGTAACCATTTTGGAACTCTGGACTCTCTTGAGGCCCTGCAACTTCCAGGAGAAGGCAGGGATGGTAAATTGCAGTCAATTTTGGTCAATTTCAGCTATTAACACAATAGTAGCTACCCACTCAGCACCACCAGCGGCACTGCAGGTAGCTCTGCAAGTTCTGGAGCAGCTTGCACACAGCTTGTGGGAGCTAGGGTCAGCAAAAAGGACTCTCCCCTGAATATTGGGGATCTGTGCTCTGATTACTGATTGCTGCTTCTGATCACTAAAGTGCAGACAAAGAGGCAGGCAGCCATTGTTGTTTCACCTCTCCCCTTTGTGGCAAGCCACTCCTACTTTGGCTGAAGTAACTTTCAGGGGCGCTTAAGGGTCAGCGACCTTTTTGCCCTCTCCCTTTTTCACATTTTCCCCTTTTGGAAGCCGCACATTAAAGACTAAGACATTCAAAGACAATTATATATATGGAAAAATTAGAAAGTGACCACACACGCCCAAGGAAAGGCTCAGAGAAGAGCTGAGAAGATACTAAGTTTACACCTCAGGCTGATCCTCAACACAGAGAAAGTGTACAACGATGAAAAAAAAAAAAAAAAAACAGCAAACTCTGGGGAAGTGGGAGAATCTGATATCCAGAGTTAACACATTACTAGATTCAAATGGCCAGCATGCAACAAAAAACTCACAAGGCATACAAAGAAACAGGCAAGTATGGCCCATCCAAAGGAAAAAAAAAATTCAACAGAATCTGTCCTGAAAAAGATTTAATGGCAGATGCAGTCTTAAAGATGCTTGAAGAACTAAAGGAAGATATGAAGTCAGTCAAGAACACTGTGTGCAAATAAAATAGACAGGAAACCAAAAAAATTCTGGAGATGAAAAGCACAATAACTGAAATGAAACATTCACTAGACAGATTCAAAGGTAGATTTAAGCAGGCAGAAGAAAGAATTAGCGAATTTTAAGATAGGACAATAGAAATTATCAAGGCGAGGAATAGAAAGAAAGAAAGATCGAAGAAAATCAAACAGGGCCTAAGAGACGTGTAGGACACCATCAAGTGGAACATACACATTATGGGAGTCCCAGAAGATGAGAGAAAGAGGCAAAGAGAATATTAGAAGAAATAAAGGCTGAAAGTTTGATGAAACACAGAAACAGAAACACCCAAGAAGCTCAATGAATTCCAAGTCAGATGAACTCAAATAGACCCACACCTAGACACATTATAATCAAACTTTCAAAAAGCCAAAGACAAAGAACAGATCTTGAAAGCAGCAAGAGAGAATCACATCATCACATACAAGGGAGTCTGGAAAAGATTATATACAGATTTCTCAGCAGAAAATTTGAAGGCCAGAAGACAGTGGGCCAGTTATCCAAAGTGCTCCCCAAAAAAAGTCAACAAAGAGTCCTTTGTC